TATATGCCACTCTTCAGACATAGATACTCATTCTACATGGAATTTTTAGCATGAGACATTGATCTAAAATTGGATTATTTTTCTTTCTTTTTTTAAAATTTTTTTCCATCACCATTTATCTCTCTTATACCCTCTTCCATCTCCACCCATGCACTCTCTCCCCTCCCCGCTAATCACCACACTGGATATTAATTTTAGATTAAAAATAATTTGAAATAGAACAAAAATAACATCAAACATTTTTCATGGGTCATAATTGCAGGTTTAGCTAAAATGTTTTAAAATGTACATTTTAAATATTTAAAATCTTTTTTGTTGCCTTAACTTTTCCAACGTCAGATGATGACACCAATATTCTCAAGAATGACTGTGAAGAATATTGTGTTTCATTCATTTCAGTAAACTTCAATTTAGCTTTTACAACTGCTAATATTTAGAGAATCTTGGATATCTTAAGTAAGTCTTCCAGTTCCTAATCTACATAAAAATCATGCCTTTAAGTTTATAAAGATAAATCACCACTCTGTAAAATTACCTTGAATCTCTCCTCTGAGGTAAAGTTGCAATATGGAATGTATGCTGTTTAATTTATACACATCTTTAGAAGATTATCAGGACAAGCCAAAAACAGAGATGCAAAATAGGGGTTTTAATTAAATCATCAAATTCATGGTTGGAAAGTACTTTGTAACTTTAAACGGGCATCTCCTCTACAATATTCCAGACACGTTGTCTTTTGGCCACTTCATCAACCCACCATGGCAAAGGATTCTCTGGCATTTTGTTCCATAATTAGGGTGCTCTAACCACTGAAAAGTTCTTTTCCATATTGAGATAAAGTAACGATAACTATATTTATTGATCTTCTACATTAGAATATCCTTATACTAGACAAAGTATTCATTGTTTATCTGAAATTCAAATTAAAGTGGGCTTCATGTTTTGTTACTGTTGTTTTTTTGCTAAATCTGGTAACCCTATGTGCTATGCATCTCACATTCTCTACAGTGCAGGGTATAAGTAATGAAGCCTCCAAGGGTGTTAGTTCTGGAGCCACATGGCCTAGTTTAAATCCTGGTTGGGTCTGGGCTCCCTTAAGCAAGTTACTTAACCTCCCTAATGACTCAGCTTCCTCAACTGGAAGATTAGCATCTATCTTTGGATTGTTATAAAAATTTAATAAGTTTATATTTGTAAGCAAAGCTGATATTCTGCCAATAAGCCCCAGGCAGGGTCCCTTCGCTCACTGGACATCCATTCTGAGTCATCAGTACTATGCTTTACATAAAATATTTTGATTATCGATGTGTATAGAACACTCCCTACAATAATGCCTGTCATTGTGTGCTTAATAAAAATTAATTTATATTACTATTATTATACCAGTTTCCATAACAATCCTGAAATGGAAGCTATTATTATTCCTTATTTTATAGATAATGAAACTGAAGCTCAGAGAAGTTAAGAAATACGCCTATGGCCACTCGGGTACTCGTATTTCAGAACTTTAGCTCTTAATCGCCGTGTCTCTTTACAGTAGGCACTCGTTTTCTCTTCTACCTTCTTTGCAATTCAGAATTCATCTGATGCCTTTTTCATACAACAATTCTTCAAACATTTAAATTTATTTCTTGTGCTACCCCTGTATCTTCCCTTCTGCATGTTAAATTTTGGTCAAATATCACAGTATCATCATCATTATTATTGTCCACCCACCTGGTTTTCTAGACACCCTGCAGGCTGTTCATTGCCAGAGGGCTTCCCAATTACAGGCAATACATCTTTTACCATTTTGTTTACTTCCTGATAAGTGGCTTCTTGAACAAACTGGGCAAAAAATATGGTGGCCCTGAAACAAAAATACATATGAACGCTTAAGAAGCCAACTTAATCAATCTTTTTCTCAAGTTTAGTTTTTAGTTTCTGTTACGTTGTGACCAATTTAGGTGGTGATCTTTGTTAAAAATGCATGTGAAATTAGGTTCTGGCCATCCAGGAAAAATATCATTCTTCTTCTCATCCTTATAAATATACATATATCTGTTGAACATCAAAATAAGTGAATTTCCTCTAAGAGTGGTTCCTCCTTTTTGCAATGCAACTTTAATCAAGGGTATCTGTATTCTTTACAGTTTCCTATAAATGTAAGCAAAGAATTGGTCACCAGAGCTCAGCCTGTGTTTACCCTCAGCATAATCAAGGTCTGATCCAAGACTGCAGTGCTCATGGATTGACCCAAAGCATTGCTTTAGCAGGTTTCTGTGTGCAAACAGTGGTAGTAACACATCCCTTTAAATTCATTATCTGAAACTTCAGAATGTGGAACCAAAAGATAGCATTAAAAGAAACAACAGACCCTCTAAAATAACAGAAATTTGAATATCTTACCTCTTCTTTTTTGTTACTAGGATTTATATAGTATTCAGAATAGAGAATATTGCAATATCATCTTACCAGTGTTGATGAGAAAAGCTCCTGAATTCTTTTTGGTTGCCACTGATCAGATACTAATCTTCAGTTTATAAAATTTGATTTGATTTGTCCCATGGAATTGCAAAGAATCTAGAGGTTAACATCTAAGGCATAGGCCAACAGCTCAACATCTTTGATATCAGCCTGATATTAAATATAAATAACTTTTCTTGACATTAACCAATTTGCTTCTATACTTTAAAAAACTCATAGGGCTACACAATTTCATTTACTTACTTAACTAAATTACCATTGCTTTACATGTTTAAGGTGGATTGATACAAGCAAAACTTACAGGTCAGCTAAATTCACCTCTGCAGAGCATTGGGAAGAATCCAGTATGGAAGCTGAAAAGCAAAATAAACTCAATGAAAAACTGTGTTTCCAATTGCAACCAGGAAAGTTATCATTATTACATGTAAATGTTTGTATTTAAGTTAAAAGTATAGTTTTAGAAATGAGAAGGCATTAGGGATTATCTATGCAAACATATTAATTTTGTACTTGAGAACACTAGAAAACTAAGGAATAAAGTTAAGAATAATAGTAGACTTAGCACTAAACTCCAGATTTTATATCTTCCAATTGTTTGTTTCTCCCCTGTACTGTGATGCTCCAGTAGGATTGGAAATCAAATGATTAAAACTATTAATTTTAGCCTCCTTTAAACATGTTTACACCACAGTTTGCTTGCTCATTTGCATCCCAGTCACACTGTTTCTTCTTTAGACAGTCAAATAATGACCTGTTTTTTTCTAAAATAAAGAACAAAGATGTTACTTATATTACTTATTTTACCAGTCTGAGAGTGTTTTGCATGTAAAGGAACCAGGATTTTATGGTCTGATATATATATATGTCAAAGTAAATAGGTATATCAATTAAATAAATACTGTACAAAAAAATTAATTCAACTTGAAGAACACAAACATTCATAGATAATGTAAAGCACTGCCATAATTCTGTAACCTTCTTGCAAAGTTACAGGTTCATCATGCATTTAAAGATATTCACTAAATTAAGTATTTTTCCCCTGTGTAGAACAGTAAAGGTGATAACGAATAAATGCAAACTTAAGAATTTTGATATAGAGAAAAGACATAAAAGAAAAACACAAAATATCTTACCTATTCCATATGCATTGTTATGCATGGTTCTGGATTCCATAATATTTAGTAAGAAAATTAAAAAAATTGATACCACCCACTTCATGGTTATTAGTTGTTTCATTGTTGTTGGCAAGGGTCAGGACAGAATATAGAAAATCATGCTGAAATTCTTTTATACCTTTTTCAAGCAATGCCTGTTAACTAGTAATCTTTTATTAGTATATCTGTTACTTTATTTCCTTAGGTTGAAATGGACAACTTGCCAATAATTAACAGCACAGGGATTATTTGTATTTAATGTTCAAGGACACAAGCCTCTTTTGGGTGGGAAAAGAAAAAAAAAAGAAACTTGCAAATTCATCCCATGTTGCATATATAACAAGTATTCTTCTCAAACTACAGAGTATTCGAAGATATTGTTCCCTGAATTGTACAATAATTAATTCCTTTCCAATTACAAAGTTAATGAGGTTATAAAGAAAAGAAACTAGACTTTGTATGAAATTCAACTAAATCCACTAATTCATTAAGCAGCATTAATTGAATGTCTCTCGCATGCCATGCTCTGGCCACGTTGGCCAACCCAGGTTTTCACTGGGTAATGCGTTGCTTGATTATTCTGTTGCTGGTTAGCTCAGAAACCCTTTTCACCTGATTTGTATGCCAATAAGGCCCATTCTTGAGTACTTAGTACACAGTGTATGGCTTAAGATAGAACGCTTAGGGAAAAACCCTGACAAACCAAGTCCTAAATCATGTTATTTGTTACAAATAATTCTGCATGTGTGTCAAACTTCGAAGTGGGTCAGCTGCACTGTTCATTTAGCAACTCAAGATGATTATGTTAATACTAAATAAAGGGCCCTTACAAATGCCACCTGATTGTAGGAGCTCACCTCCCATCTTCCCTCTCTATGAAGGTTCTCAGTCTTGGCTGCACATTAAAATCACTAGAGGCACTTTTAAAATTCTCAGTGCCTAGACTGCACCCCAGACAAATTAAATCAGAATCCTTTGGAGTTGGGACCTACACATTAGTGTTTTCTAAAGCTTCACAGGCAATTCACTATTCTACAGTTAATATTTAAAAATCAAATGAGCTATGGTAGGAAATAAGTAGGATACATTCATAAAATAGAATAATATGCAGCCCTCAATATAACTTTGTGGAAGAATATTTAACAATATGGAAATATGCTCAAGGCTAAACAATTCGGTCTTATCATTTCATCAAAAGATTAGAGGGGACATAAGTAAAAAGCCAGGCAAATAACAGGGATTTACAAAAGTGTGATTATTTTAATATAGATATAAATAGACACATAACTATAAATAATATGTGCACATCAAGCTAGAGGTGTGTTGTGACAGTCACCAGCCTCGTTCATCGGGACCCTGATGAGACTAAACCAAGAGTAACAACTTTACTGTCAGTCTGGGTCCTTTTTGGATCTTTCCTCTGATATTGTGCTAGTTTCATGTTTTCCTTTAATCTCCTTTCATATTCTCCCTCACCAAGCAGACCTTGGCCATTTTCTGCCATATGATCAGCAAGAGGGTGCAGCATTATGGTTAAGCATGTGGGCTTGGGACCGGTCTGAATTTTTGCCCAGCCACTCATTTGCCACATGACTTTGGTTGAGTCATTTAATTTCCCTAGGCTTTATTTTCATCATCTATAAATATGGATAGTGATGGACCTCCTTCATGAGTGAGTGAAGATTAAATAAACTAATCAGCCTAAGTGGCTCGGAATAGAGCCTTGCACAGAGTGGAGCTCCGTAGAAGGGAGTTTTATTTATTCATTCAACAAAAACGTGAAGTCTGCGTACCGGGCACTGCAGTTTGACAGGAATATTCAGTAACCAGACGCAGGCGCCATCCCGCTCTTGCTGCATTTAGCATCTCGTGGGAGAGGCAGGCAGTTATGTCAGCAATCGCAAAACAGAGGTGTAATGGGTGCAGTGATAAGGAGAGAGAAATGACAGACACCTGACATCTTTGGAGTGTGTCAGGTTAGCTTTCCTGCAATAAGTAGAATCTTACTGGAGATCAGAGGAAAAACTGGAGGTGAGCCAAATACAGAGGGAGGGACAAGTGTCCGGGCCAATGTTGAAAATCATGGAAATATCCCCTGGTGAGGGCGAGCATGGCATATATAAAGAAATGGAAGAAATGCATTTTCAATAAAATACAAAATTTAAAGATGAGGGAACTTACTCCCTAAAGGAGATTTTCTGCAAAGTTGGCAGGGGCCACATCTCAAAGACCTTTTAAATCAAGTTTACACTGCATCCTAAGATAGTGGTGTAAAGCTAATAAAAGAAAGCGAATAAAAAAATCACATTGGTGCTTTGAAACCATCTCTCTTGGCATAGAGGGGCACAGGACTGTGAGAAGGAAATAACTTAGGAAGTTTTCGCAATAATATGATTCAGCAACTGGCTAATGGGAAATGAGAGCTGTGGATGAAGTTAAGTGGTATGAATGACATAATATGAAAAGCACTTACTGAATACCTGCTCAGCTTTGGATCTACCAAGCTCAAGACAGTGACCAGTTTACTCAAACAGGCCTGCTTTACGCTTGTTGACTTAGAATAATCATTAATCAGAACACCCTGGTCTGTGTGTTGAAGTATCTTTAAGACCTTGAAGTCAAGAAGTTGACCCCCAGTTGAATAGTGATTCTTATCCTCTGGAACAAGATTGAGGCCAGAGATGGAGATTCAGAAATCATCATCTTATAAAGGGTTATTGTAGCCATGTGATTGGAGGAGAGGAACTGTAGAGAAAATAGGTACCCAGAGGAACACCAAATTTTAAGAGACAGCAATAAAGATAAGCTTTGAACCAGAGTTTACCTACTAACTGCAAACAACCCTTGATCTATATGTCATTGCTTGAAGTTTGGTCTAAGTACATAGTTCACATCAAATGCTTTTCCATTGCTCAAATTCTGACTCTGTTTAATTTTTCATAAATCTGTGAAACTGCTCAGAAGCAACAAAGCACAGTAAACTGGACTTCGGTATCAGACAGATTCTAATCTTGGCTGTGTCAATTATTAGCCATATGACATTAGGCAAATAATTTAATCTCTCTGATTCTTAGTTTTCTCATATATATAATGAAAATGATATTTCCCCTGAAGTTTTTTTTAATGTATAGATGGAATAATGTTATTTAAAGTATCTGATTCCTAGGAGACAATTTTAAAAGGTAACAATCGCTTTCATGATTAGCACTGCTATCTGTGACAAATATTACATGTACTATTCTTCACAGCAGGTAAGCTATGCATGAAAATGCCTTCTCTTCAAACAGTGCTGGACTACTTATTCTTTCTGGGATCCATTTCGTTATTTGTTTTTTGGCTTGAGTGGTTGGTTGCTTTTTCATGGTACTTCCCATTTGGCCTTATATCAGTCATTTGCAAGCTTATGCAATTCTTCCTAGATAGGTGACTTCTTGGATTCAAGGATTCATCCTTGTGAGTCCTGTGGTGCCTATAGCACAATGTCTGGCACAAAGCAGAACCTTTATAATAGAAAATGAATGGCCTGAATCAGATTGTGGTCAGGATTACTAATTGTCCCCACTCATTCATGTTACACAAATATGCTTCTTACCACAGAGCATTACTGAAATCTTTTTTTTCCCTGCATTTATATTTTCTCTGACATTTAGAGTCTAGAGGCCATGGAACAGATCTGAAAAGAAGACAGTGCCTTGGAGGAAGCTGATGAGTATTTTCACAAGGCGTAGGACTTAAAACAAACTCCATAGAATAGATATAATTCACATTCTAGTAGGGTGAAAGTATCCAGAGTCCAGTAGCCCAGTAGGGTCTTCTTGTTCCTTTAGATTTAGTACCCTTTCCTCCATGCTGATCCCATCTATGGAGAGCAATCAGAATTACCACCACCACCTTCCCCAGATTTCTAAGAATTCAGGAGTCAGGGAGGACTGCTTGCATTTATTCTTGACACCTCGGGTTCTTATTTCCTGGTGCTGCTAAAGTCTATCTTTACCTATGCTTTACACTCTCTCCTATACATACTCTCTCTTTTCTTAACTCTACATTGGTTACCTCTCAATCATTTTTCCAAAGAACCCCAACACTGTTCGTATCAAGAAACTTGAAATCAAACATTAAAAGGCCTTTCATCTTGTATCAACCTTTACAGTAAAAAATGAATGACCCTGACTCTTCTCATGTTGAGCCCTAACAGCCTCCTCTCTTGGTCTCTCCCCCTTCTTTCTTACCTCTCCTCATCTAGACCTGGCTACCACATTCCCCTTCCGCATTAATGACGTATGCAACACCAGCATGGGCCAATGGGAATTAGATTAATTTTTCAATTGAGATTTTGAATAATGAGTAAAGAAGCAACAATCACATACCTGTTTATTGTCAATCTGTGCACATGAAGATTCTTCCTAATGTCCAGGCACCACATCTTCTGGTTCAGGTTCAGGTACCATCTCTTTGTTGGTGCTACCTTCTTCATTATCAAGTATATTTCATTTCTGGCTAATTTTATATTTGCTATCTCCAGAAAAAGGTAGCAATGCTGTTATTACTCACAATACAATGGTCCCATGGAGACTACTGAAAAAAATAAGTCTACTTGTCTTGATAGTTCTCTATTACCACATGTTTATTTTAATACGTGTTTTATCATTATTTATGATGATGCTTCCTACATCATGTCACCATGAATTCTAGCTCCAAATGACTCTCTTAAATTATCACTGTGTTTCATCAATGGTAACAACAAAGGCAAGTCTCTGGACATCTTAAATTTACTATTATGCCCTTCTTAGAATAAATACATCTTCAACACTGGTTTTTCCTGAACTCTTAGACCATAATCACTTCATTTTTAGAATATGATCTCTGTCAATGTTAACTGCATCCCAGACTTCCACACACAGCAACCAACGGGGAAGATAGATAAGGGGCCTGTGGTGAAGAAAGAAGAGTGACCCATTCCTGTGAGGCAGGTTTGGAAGGGCTCAAGACCAACCCAGGGGAGAACAAAACCACCACACTGATAGAGGCAAGAGAGGACATCAACTGGAAGGGCCCAAACATGCCCACCCCTGAAGACTGCATGACACTTGATGTGATTTAAGGGTACCCACCATGGTTACCAGTGGCCGGGAGCACACTGGGTAAAGGATACCTGCCACCTTTGTGTACTGTCGACAAAGGCCGCACTATTGGAACACAGACAGGAAAGAGCTGCCCATGCATGCAGATCATCCCAAAGTTGGGTCAACAGCCCAGACCCCAAACTCACCTTGTGTCCAATATGAGTGAGTCACTGAAAACTCACCAGTCATAATCTCACTGAAGAAGGGGAAAAATGGAGCTGACTGACCCAAGTAACTTTGGGAAATGATGTTTTGACTGAAACTTATAATGCTAAAGACAAAAGAAAGTATACATAAACATTGCACTCTAGTTGTAAGTTTATTTCACATGGAGGTATGAGCCAACAATTCTGAAACTCCTTCAGGTGTATTCTGGGGTGGAACAATAAGTAAATCGATGGTAAACAGTGGGAGCCAAGTTTTTACTGCCAAAGAGGTAAGTTACAAATAAGCAAACGGGGAAGACTTGAATAAACTCTGTGGTTATGGAACAGAGTCAGAGACATCAGTATGAGCTCTTATTTAGCCAGATGATGGATGGATGGATGGATGGATGGATGGATGGATGGATGGATGGACAGATAGAGATAGATAGATGATGATGGATAGATAGATGATAGATGATGATAGGTAGATTAGATAGATGATAGATGATAGATAGATGATAGATAGATAGATGATAGATAGATAGATGATAGATAGATAGATAGATAGATAGATAGATAGATAGATAGATAGATAGATAGATGATAGATAGATAGATGATGATAGATAGATAGATAGATAGATAGATAGATAGATAGATAGATAGATAGATACATGATTGACAGATAATAGATACATGATACAGAAATAATGACAGGCATGTGCCTATTCATGGGTGAGTATACAAACCTACATTTTTCAGTTGTTCCCTGAAACAGTCTAGAAGCAGTGATACCCCATTAGCAAAGAGCACACCCAGTGCTCAGAACTTTGTTTCTAATAACACTGTATTAAACAGAACCAGAGCTCCTTGAAGAAATGGCAGTTTCCAGGTCTGGGGAAGGGAAAGGACAAGATGAGCCAGAACTTTTTTAGTGCTAGAAAGTTAAGATGTGTTCAAAAAACAAAGTTTAGGGGCACATCAAGGGACACAAGGAGCCAACTTGAATCCCCCAGAAACCAAAGCTGGAATAATTTAAGTAAAAAAAAATCAATAATATATCATCAAATTATAACCCAAAGTATAAAACAAATATAAATGAGTTCATAGTGGTATAAATAAGTGAATAAGTAAATAAGTAAAGTGACAAATCATTTTTACCAAAACAATCTGAATATATATGTCAATATTCATCCTTCCAGGAGCTTCATCTCCTCCCTCACTCTCTTTGACTGTGAGCTAGAGTTAGTGACTTGCCTCCAAAAATAGTGACTATACAGTAGAGAAATCTGGCAAACACTAGCTTAACCAAGTGCTCAATCTAAACATTCTTGGTGATAAATCGTGTGGCTATCAGGTACCTCCTGATGGGAAATGAGAACAGTTCACACACACACACACACACATACACACACACACACACCTGGGTATCCGCACCATCTGGTGGCCCAGTCTCCCACACTGTGCAGCAAAAGACATGCAGTGAGAACCATCCAGCAGAACGATGCACTTTCCATCCCGCTGTCTCAGAACCAGAGAGGACACTGGGCTCCTGGATCGCTCTTAGGCTCAAATGTCCAGGCAACTTCAAGAATCTGCTTGACTCACAGAAAGCGGGGAAAGCTGGGCTCCACGAGTCCCACATTTTGGAATGTCTTCTTCCAAAAGTTTTAAGTCCCCATCTGCTGCCTGGACTGCAAGACCTTCCAGGCAAGGGTGCTCAGACCTAGTCCCGTGTAGGTCCAGTTATGTGGAAACACCTGACTCAAAATTTTCTAGGTCTGCCCTTGGGACCCTCAACAAGCCATTCCATCTCCATTTCTCCCCTCACGGGCTCTCTTCCATCTTTGTGATGATTGCAACAAATGTGGGAAAGTATTTGATATATTCAAGATGCAGCCAAAGTGGGGGTTGGGTGAGGATAGGGGGAGAGTGTGGGACGTAACATTCCAGATACAAAAGGAGCCTATTTATTTCAACTTGGAACAAAAGCTTTTGCAAGCATCTTACTTAAAATAAAACTATAAAGTATTATTATTAAGGACAAAATAAAGCTGTGGAATAGCATGTATAGTGTGAAATCAATTCTATCATATTATAAAATAAAAAATACACAAGGTAACAGTGCTATAAATGACTTTTAGGTATGTAAATTCATAGACAATGGTCTGATACCAGTGACTACCTCTGGAAACAGGGGGAAAAGGCCCAATATTGAATATAACATCTAATTTTTACAGGAAAATTTTACCCTCCAACTCTTGCACTTCCTCAATTCAGTAACCTTAATCATGCCTTACTGTGCTTTTGTCCCGACCTCCTAATTCCCGCTTCCACTTATGTTTCTCCACACTTGTTAAATTTCTTACACTCTTCATCTATTGTCCTCCTAGACTGTGAAATTTCTTCCAGGACCAGTGGTTTTTCCCCATTAAATTAGTTATCCTCACAATCATCTCTATCTTCCTGTCCCTCACATTTCTTCGAGAGTTTAGTTTCCTTAGAGTTCTAAGGAAAAGCTACGTTTTATATACCCTACCTATACCGCATGTTTATTCTTTTATTAAGAATTATCATAATGCTAAAATGGATCTTTAAATGTTTATAATCCACAACTCAGAAGAGTATTAATGTTTCTATTAATAAATTAGCCCATTAGGAATGAGAAGTCCTCCACTGAAGTGGGGGAAAGAGAACAGTGAGACTTTCACAGAACTTACAAAATTTTCAGGATGGCAACTATTCTTGAAAAATAACAGTCCTGAACAATAATATTAGTTTTTTAATTTTTTTTTATTAATTGCAGCACAGAGAAAGGAGGCAAAATATTTAAAGAAATGTATGTTTTTTTAGATAGGCTGTTGGTTTTACACCAAACGAAAGGAAAAACAGACAAATAGGCATTGGGTCTTCATTTCTTCTTTCTCTCAGTGTAAGCTGAAAAATAAAAGTACCAATATAAGTACCGTTTGTAAAATGGCATGTGTTCTTCAAATCTATTTAAATGAATGTCAAATTGCTTAGACTGTCTGGCAATACCCAATTTTCACCAATGAAAATAATTCAAGCTTGCCCTAGACTCATGGCAGCTGAATTCTTGGCTGAGCTAGGGAAGAGGACCCCCCACTAAGTACTGTAAAGTCCTCTCTTTATCACTGATGTCTTCATACTCCTCAGGCTTCAAAGTCACAGGCTTCCATCATCACTCCTCAGGGTCATTTACTTAACACCTATTCCTTACCTACGTTAATTACAAAAAAAACAAGGTGTCTTCTCCAAGTTAGTTGCCATTTAGGACTGAAACAAACTATATTTGAAACAACCAAGTTTGCAGAGATAGGAGCTTCTTCCATTCATGAATGCACAATATGTAGGTATTATCATGTGGGCAAAGTCTAGCAGTGGAATAAGCATCATGCTCCGTTCGGAAAATCTGAAAGTAATCCGTGCTAAAAATTGTTGGACAAGTTGCCTTTTATAAGAAGAAACTTTATTTTTTTTAATTTCCCCAAAATATTGTAGCCAAAATGGATAAAACAGGTTTATGGTCAAACATCGAAATTTTAAAGTGGACCTTTTGACCTAAGAAGAGAAATTCTATTAAATCTTAGCATGCTGACACACTGGAAACTTAGTAGCACGTTATTTACTATTAAGTAGGAGTTCACATAGCAGATCTTTCATATTCTCCAACAATGTTTATTTGTTACTGAGCTAGTAGGTTGAACCTTGTGAAGTCATTGTCATTCAACTTGTTTTTAACCTACAAAAACGCGAGTTGTCCAGCCTAATACCTGAAGTAATCCACTGTGAATCATTGCTTAGTTGAATGGCTCTGTCTACTGTGTCACATTAGGTCAGAACAGAACAGTGATTAACTGTCAAGCTCTGGTTTGAATTTTGAATTGTGGCTTCACCTCTCACCAGCTGGGTGATCCTTGGGTAAACTACTTAGTCTATGCTTTGATCTGTGCTTTCATTTTCCCATCAGAAATATGGAAATAATAATGGAACTCAACTCAGGCAACTATTTTGAGGATTAAATAAGTTAATATATACAAGGACCTTAAAGCAGTGATTGGCACTGGTCCATGTGGCTCTTAGCTCTTTTAATATTAACTATTATAATTAATTTTTTAAAGAAAATCCAGAGGATGGTTACCTGAGACGCTTGTGATTGTGTTGTTTTTAGGCTAAGACAGCTTGACTTGAAGCAACAAGTTTTGGACCCTGAATACAAAGAAATGACAGATTTAGGGGAAGTAGTAGTACCATTATTTGGATAAAAATGAACATTTATACATCCATTGATGATTACAAAGTAATTCTCCATGCTTCACATCCTTTAATTCCAGCTTAGCACTAGAATCTCTAGAAGGAAACTTACTGACACCCGTTGTGCCCAAAAAACTAAAAACATTACTGTCAAGTCATAAGGAAAAATTTTAAATGACTCAGATATTTAAATTTAAACTTCCCCACTCCCTGTGAAATCAAGCACTCAGATTCCACCAAATCACAAACCAGAACTTTTAAAGAAAATGCTTAAATAAATTAAAGTTTTGGTTTAGTGATGCCTCTACCAGAAGATTTCAGAAATTCTGAATATATCTAACTGTATTCATAAATGACCCAACTTTGGAAACAGAACAAATACTGCAAACTTTTAATAATATACTTCAGTAGAGAAGATTTTTTTAAAAAGAGCTAATGGAAGTCATTTTTTCAGACAACTGTGTGTAGAATAAGATTCCTGTCCCACATGTACTGAGTGTCCTTCAGATATACAGACCCCTGAGCCTTAGCCTTAACACTATATATATTAAAATAAAAACCACTCCAGCACCTCCTCAGAAAAGCAGGCCTCTTTGTCAGCAGCTGCGCAGCACTTCTGTAGAAAAGCTGAGAAATTATCCGTAACAGTTTTCAGTTTTTCATCGGTTGCCTTGGGCTTGTGTTTCAACAGCTCCACAAGTAAACTGCATTTAAACGAAAACAAAGCAAAGCAAAACAGAGAAGAGAAGAGAAGAGTTACTCACACACAGGGAAACGGAGATGGTGAAGGCAGCAGGGCTGTCGCTTGGCTCTCTCAGTCTCGGAGCCAGGCAGCTCTGAGCGCAGGCCCAGGCTCACCACCCTGGAGCTCAGCAGGCTCGTCTGCACAAGGAGGAGAGGCCTGCCTCCCCAGGGTGGGTGGAAGGGTCAAACAACATCACCGATGTAAACTGTCAACATCTGTACTGTCAATAAACCTCTTTTCAGTTAAATCTCTGGAAAGGATTCTGTCCTTGCATTCAGAAATTATTCAAATTTTGAAATTTATGCCATATGGAAGTTTACAGCAGTTTAAGAGCTAAAAGTGATCCTCAACAGCTTAATTTTCTTGGACTCCATTTAAAAGTTTCTAATCCAAGAAGCTATATATTTGGTCTTTGAAATTTGGCCCACTCAAAATGAATAGTGCGAGGCCACGGGAAACAAGACCATCCAAGCTCATGGGAGCTGGTGGTTCTCTCTCACTGACATCTGCACAGACAGTGAGTCTGTGAGCACAGTAAGTTTCGCAATAACCCTCTTAAGTCTGTGGCCACAGTCAGGACGCACCAGACACAACGACGTTACGTTGCACCTCTAACCCCTTGTAACAGCAGTAGGGAGTCAAGCTTCAGAACTCGCATTTCTAGACCTTTTTCATCCAAATCCCATTCTCAAAAGTTACATCTTGGAGGTTTGCCTTGCCTGTGGGTTGCCATAGAACAAACTTAAAATCATCATTTATGCCTAGAAATAAGTTCTTCTAAGATTGCTGCTAACTAATTTGCTATCTGCACAAATGAACCAGTTAATTGTTCAGCTTTTTCTACTAGACCTGTGCTAAGATATTTTTCTACTGCAGCCTTTATCCACAAGATTATTCTGAATGATTTCTAGGCAAAATTATAATATAGTTTTATTGTTGTTGTTTATTTGTTTGGCTACGGAAACAGAATCCTATCCATTTTATTTTTTGACACTTTTATCACCTTAACAAGGCCAATACTTAAATAATCTTTCCTAAGGAATTTAATCACTACTTCAGAAAAAGTTACCCACTCTATTGACAGTTCTCACTATCAAGATTACAAACATGCAGTAATGAAATGCTCCTCACGTTTGTTTCTTCACTTGTTGCTCAGTCTCGGGAAGTGTGCATACATCTGCATGGAAGGTGAACGTTTCAGCATTAAATTCTTTGGGAACATAGGTATCATCATCTCCCAGAGAAGAAAAGCATGGCCGTCTGTTCACCAATGACTCTGTGCAGCATTTGGTAACTCTGTCACTCACTGGTGTCTTCTCGTGGGCCACACATAACCCATTCAAGACCAGGGACAGCTGAAGAACAGGGAGTAGAGCAGAAATTCAAAAGAAGGATAATGAAAAGTTTTCCATGAACTACTACTTTCCAAAAGAAGTGCTGTATTTTAATTAGCAATACTGAATGCAAGGTTGATTTGAGGCAGTCATTTCCTTACTACTAATAATAAATAATAAGGGACATTTAAAAGAAGAGGGGAGGGAGAGGAAGAGCTTAACCAAAGTATTTATATGCACATATGCAGAACCCAGGAACACAAACAATAGTACCGTGAAGGCCTGGGGAGGGGGTGGTCAATGGGGGGAAAATGGGGACATCTGTAATATTTTCAACAATAAAGATAAATTTTTTAAAAAACAATCTTTTTTCTTTTACATGTCTACATCTGCAGAATAATCCATTTGAGAAAATAATTGATTAAAATAATTTGAGGTGAGTCCTAAGGTATGTGTTAGAGTGAGGAGAAAGCGGTCTTATATTGACACATTAAGGAAAAGACCTCCCAAAAGTAAAAAAAAAAATTTAATGCCAGGATGAAGCATTAAATATTCATGGAATTTTTTCAAAACAATTTATCATTTTCAGGATCTTATCTCAGTTCTCATTCGAAGGTCAGGATAACGCTGGCAACCAAGTACTGGCTGCCACTCACACACACACACACACACACACACACACACAATTAGTTCACTCCTGCTTCTGAAGGTTAACTTTAGAAATATCATCTAAAGGCAAAAATTCATCATTATTGACATTATATTTTAAAAGACTCACATAGTCTTCAGCACAACCCATTCTTTTTGACTCAGGAAGCTTACAACACTTGCTGCCCACTCGTCCTAGTTTTCTTGAGAGATCCACAAGAGTTGGAGTCGATACTTTGGGTGCCCTCTTGGTGTAACGCACCACCAGGCTGGAATAAAATAGTCCATTAGTTTTCAACCAGGCGAGAAGCTATTTTTCCTAACATAGTAGGTGAAGTAAAGAACAATTAGACAAAATCAATTACAATGATTTTTCATTCATAAAATTGTCTCCATCTTTAGGTTGGTGGGGTGGAGTGAGGGAGTCATTGTGCTAAGCAACTAGGTAAGCCTAACGCTGAATTCCACCTGTGCTGTATAATCTTAGGAAAGTGACTTAACTTACTATAATTGTTATGGGAAGGTAGACAGACATGAGCAGAGCAAGGACGATGGACTAGGTATAGAAACTCACCAGGGCAAAAAGTCCCAGATGCCTAGCAAGGGGCAAAACAGGGAAAACAAGAACCTCACCCGCAGGGTAACGTTTCTTCCCCTAGCATATTGCTGGTCATGCAGTGTGGACCCCTGACTTTTCGTATTGCTACTCATTTGGTTTACACCTCCCTGCTTTTCCTCCCTAAAGATAACATCTAGGCCTCAGTTGTATTTCAGCTCCAGGCTCAGAAAAGCAGCAAAACCAGACAAGTGACTCCATGGTTGCCTCAGAACCAGCTACATTGACTAGTGATCCCCTGCCCTGGCACTGACCATTCAGGGGAGACCATGACCCTGAAAGAGCACACCTGGAAAAATGATGAATATTCTATTGAGACCCTCCCCTGAGACCACCCCTAAGATTTCCACCTGCAAGAGAGAGATAAATATGCTTAGGTTAAAGGATCCAGCACTGGCTCTCCCCCAGGAGGGCACGCCTGTGCCATTCCCTTTCCCCTTCTTCCCTCTAAGGGATCCCACGAGACTTGCAACCAGGGAGCAGTGGGCAGTGGTAGCTCATCCTGGGAAACTCCCTGAACCTATCCTCAATGCCCCCTTTTATCTGACTTCTCAGTGAGCCAAAGCAGCCCAGCCTAGGCTCTCCTGTAACAACTTCTATGTCTTTCCTTGCTTCACAGTCCTCAGTATATTTTTGCTGCGGTCAATAAATTCTTACTAACTTTGCTACACTTTGTCTCTTGATTGAAATTTTTACTTCAAAATGACAAGAGCCGAGGTTTCATCATCTCCACAGTAACATAATTCAGTGACATTAATGTATTTATTAATTGCTTCTTTCTTTCAATAAAACCTACTGAGTACTTAACACGCAGGGCTGGGCTAAAGTAGGTTTACAGTTGTGCATATGGAGAAGACATGCAGGTGATGATTATTACTATAAGTTTATTAACTCTGTGTTTGGCACACTCACAACTGTAAACCTACTCTTGTTCACCCCTGTTTATCAAGCACTGTGCTAAATTAGAAAGATATGAATGAGTTTTCTCATCTATAAAATGGGAGGACATGTACCTGACTCAATAGGGATGGGACAAGGATTAACTTAAAAGACATAAGGTATGCCATCAACCTAGGATGATATCTAGCATGGAACAATCTTTCATTAAGAATTCCAGTTGAAAGTCAATGTGTGACTGTAATCTACTCAAGGGAAGAGACTTGTTCACTATTGTTATCTCTAGCACCCACCATTAGAAGAGTGCTGACATGTGTAAGTTGAACAGTAAGTATCTACCTAATGATGTGTCCCTTCTTGTCTTTACCTCCACAGGTAAGGTTCCATTACACCAGGATACTAACTAGTCTATCAACTTATATATTATAGCACTTCCTCAGCCACTGCTATTCAAGTCCAACTGTTTCCTACTCTGGAAAGCATTGCTTTCTTTTGTTTGTCCATAAACTATTCCTTAACCTTCAAAGGGCATCCTCAGTTCCTATATCCCAAGATTTAGTATTTTTCTTACCAGTCTCAACAGGCTAATTTTTCAAACTACACTCAATATAGATCTCTGAAACCCATTGACTATTTTATCTCTCATTCTCTAATCTTTCTTGATGGAGACAGATCAGAAATATATACTATATTTTCATGATTAAAAGTTCTATGACAGGTGATACATATACATGTATAAGTTTTAAAACTGTATTGTCTTTAAAATTACAAATTGATCTCACTTATATGTGGATTATAATGAACAAAAAACCTTATGAACAAAATAGATCCTGAGACTTGGAAGCATAGACTAATGAATCTCAGAGGGAAGAAGGGGGAGGGGGCGGGAAGAGATTAACTAAAGAATTTATGTGCATATAAACCATGGACACAGACAATAAGGTGATAAGGCTGAGGGGGTGTCTGTGTGGGGGAAAAGTGAGCCATCTGTCATGCTTTCAACAATAAAGATGAATTAAATAAATAAATAAATAAATAAATAAATAAATAAATAAATAAATAAATAAATAAATAAATAAATAAAAATAAATAAATTTTAAAACCTACAAATTGATCAAGAAAAAAATTAGTCAAAAACAAAATACTTACGCATTTTGGAAGCCATACTCTCCAAGGCTTTCATAAACTTCACAGTTTTTCTTGACTAATTCCTTTGACTCATCCACAAGAGGCTGAAGTTCATCCAACTAAAAGATTAAAGAATTGTGTTTACAAGATTCCACCCGAGGACCAGGTGCAGGCTATTTTTCACCCTTATAGGCAGAATGAGAGCCTTCTTCCTTTCTGCCCAAAGACATATAATTGAACCTCTGATACCAAACGTGTTACAGTGCCTCCAAACTGCACAGAAGTGATTAAGAATATTCAGGCTCAGAGTGTGGCTGCTGGTATTTGAGCCAGGTCATCTGACTCATCTTCTAGGGGTGGAACTTTACTTCCAATCACCAAGTTTTAGAAACGTCACCTCTCAGATGGACATGAAGATGGTACACACCTCAGAGAATGCTCTTTAAAAACTACCTGAGCTAATGAAATTATGACAGTGCTTGGAACACAGTAAAAGCTCAGTAAACTACAGCTATGATTATAAGCAGTATTATTTTTAAGGCATCTCTTCAGTTGGATCCTGAGCTCTCTGAAATAAGAGCTTTTACCTTGGTCATGGGATCCAGCATGGTGCCTGGCAGATAGCAGTTTCTTGGTAGAGCAAAAAAGTTAGGAAACCACCACATATATTAAAAGTGCTAAATATCCTAAACCTGCTAACATCCCATTTTAGCATAGCAAAATATGCTAAAAACCCTCCAGAACTGATTTCCTCTCCTTACTTAAATTCTTATAAAACCATTCCTAAACCTTCTCAAAAAGAATTGAAAATATTCTAAATAAATAGGTTTTACAACCTTCCTTAAGATACTAATTCTCGATACTTGATAAATCTTGAAACCAGGATAACTTTCCTCATATCTAAGTTACATCTCTTTTAATTAACATTTACATTTAATTTATCTTATTTTGTTCTCAGAAGTGTAAAAAAGAGGAAAAACAGGGTCAAGATTTTGTGAAATCAGAGCTTGCTCTCCTCAGAGCCTTTTTTTTTCTAGGCTATTCTAGGTTTTATTAGCCATTCTATTGAGGCCATTTTTCCCTAACATGTTAGAGAGCACAAAATTAAAATTATCTCAAGAGAATATCTCAATTGTATTATGTAACATTTTGCATTCTGGCATTACTTTTCTTTCTTATTTTTGGAATCACCAAAGAGCTGCATTTCATGTTTCCTTTGAGAAACCTACCACTTTGGAATAGCATGCATGAGGATCATCGGTGGCACAGCACTTCTCCAGTGTAGCTTCATATTTCTTGGCAAGTCTCAGTATCAATGACACAGCATAGTCAGGATGTCTTCTTGAGTACTCATACAAAAACCTAGTTAAGATGAAAATAAAATAGACTTACTTGAACAAAGAAGCAAGAAAAATGACCTATTTAACCACAAGTGTAACTCATATCCCAACGGTCTCAATTTGACTAAACCCATGCAAGTAAAGGTTGGTAGCTAAAGCCTAGGGGTTCAGAGTTAAGCTACCATCATTCAAATCCTTGCTCTAACACACTTATTTTACTATATCACCTTATGCAATTTATTAAAACTATCAGAACCCTAGTTTCTTCCTCTTTAGAATGGAGATAATAATAGGATCTATCTCATAAGGTGGATTGTGAGAAACACATGACATAATTTATGCATAACACACTGGCACATATTAAATGTTTAAGAAATTACTCCTGTTATTATGTATACTTTGTTTTATTTGGACTATATCTCAAAAAGATTCAAATAGATAGATAATAAATAGATAATAGATGATGATAGATAGATGATAGATAGATGATGATGATAGATAGATGATAGATAATAGATAGATAGATAGATAGATAGATAGATAGAT